TTCTCGTTTATTTCCCATGTTTCATATAAATCTTTTTGAAATTTTTCAATTAGTTTTGGGTTCCTAAATATACTTGTATCCATTCTCCACCTATTTACCACCTTATAATCACGTTTAAATATGAACTCGATTTTCACTCTGGCGTGATCTGAAATTTGTATAACATCAATAACTGTATCATTTACTCTAGGCAACAAGTCATTAGATACAAATATATAATCTATTCTTGAATATGTGTTATGCACCTGTGAATGAAAAGAGAATCTTCTTTCATTCCCTTTTAGCTCTCTCCATACGTCTTTCAGATCAGTTTTACTTATTAATCTATTAAAACCTGTAATTTTAGCATTCTTCAAATCCATAACCATATTGAAATCTCCTGCTAATATTACTAACCCTTTCCTCAATTTATCCAACTTTCTCAATATGTTTTCTAAAAATTCTTCTTGTCGCTCATTAGATGCATACACATTTACAAGCGTAATCTCTTCCCCTCTCATCTTACCTTGTATTATCAGATATCTACCTTGAGTATCTTTTTCTATTTTTTCAGTCTGGAATTCACACTTTTTTGAAATTAATATTGCCACTCCTCGAGACTTGGAGGTTCCAAATGATTTTTCATAAATTTGAATCCACTTACCTTTCAATTCATTGAAACCATCCTTTTTTGATGAGTTTATTGCAGAAATACAATGTCATTATTACTTTTATTTAATACATTCTGTATCTTAGAAAAATATGGAACGCTTCACGAATTTGCGTGTCATCCTTGCGCAGGGGCCATGCTAATCTTCTCTGTATCGTTCCAGTTTTGGTATATGTGCTGCCGAAGATTCTTCGTGGCTAGCAAAAGCAAAGCAAGTTTCCTGCCCCCTTACATTTGATGGGACTTGTCCCTCTGTCAGGCTTCCTGGATCGCAGTCCACTTCCTCAGACAAGGGGACCCTGGTCACAGTCAGGTCACAGGGAGATGCTGGCAGAGGGCAGGGCAGAGGGACAGCCAGTGTGCTGTAGCCCCCCCTCCCTCCCTGCATGCTGGACTGGGAGCCAGGGGATCTCCCCTCTGCCACGGGAACTAAGCAGGAGTGGCTGGTGGCAATAGTAAGTCATCCTTTGGAAAGCTCACACATCTGGGAAATCTTATTAGGGTCACTGTAAATCAGATGTGACTGGATGTCTCAAAACAGCAAAGTGTACATGGGGGAGGGGGCAAGTGTGATGAGGCAAACAAGGCTGAGAATCCAGCTGGTTCAACCCCTTTCAAAGCTTGTGCTGGGGCAATGCTCTCCCCGTGACCCAGCGCTCTCCCTTCCAAAACGGACAGGCTTCGCAGTGATGTGGTGGCCTCCCAGGCTTCCCCCCCCCTGGGGGGACTTCAGCGTCCATGCAGAGGCGTCGGTTGCCGGTCCAGCCTCAGATTTCATGGATTCCATGACGGCCACGGGGCTGCCCCAACAGGGGAACGGTCACACACACAGGGCAGGTCATGCAACCGACCTGGCAGTTTTGGCTGGCCAAGGCAAGGAAGATCTGAGGGTGACCAGTTTGACTTAGTCACCCTTGTCATGGTCAGACCCCCCTGCCTACTTAAATCTGGCCTTGCAGTGCCATCCTCCCTCGTGGGGAGAGGGGACCGATCAAACGGCCTGCCCATGGAGGCTCTTGGGTCTGGTTAGATTCCAAAACGCCTTGGATGGACTTCTGAACGAGCCGATTGTCACGGCTGTCGAAGCCCAGGTTAAATGGGACCCTTCAGCAACTAGGACAGATGCCCCAAAGGTCTGCTCCTCCTCCTGGTTCGTAGGGGATCCTGGTTTGTAGGCCTTGAAACACCAGGAGGAGGCTGGGGAGCATCTGGAGGAAAAATCCCTCCAGTGTCAAAAGAGCTACAGCAAAGAACATATCCAGCCACTATTATAACACTACCGCACTATAACCAAGCTGCCAAGAAAGCCAACTATGTTAGGTGGCTTGGTGAGGCTGTTAACCAAGAGGCAGAGCTTTATAAAGTGGGGCTGGACGGCATTTGGAGCCTCAGCTGGATGCCTTGATGCAACCGGTTCAAAGCCAATTTTTGAACAAGGATTTAGGCCATCAGTAGAGACCTGGTCTCTGTTAGTGTAGCAATAAGTCAAATCAACAGGACTGGTTGCATTGGACCAATTTCAGCCTATGATGTCTGATGACGTGGACAAGGCACTTCCATGTTCTTAGACCATGATCTCCCAACCAGACGCATGCCTCTCCTGGCTCCTGAAATCTGCCAGAGAGGTGGCATCCAAATGGACCTTTGGGAGCATAAACTCCTCCTAGAGGGAGGTTGACATTCTCTGCTGCTTAAAGGTGACTGTTGTTGAAACCAGGAGCTAGTCTCCTGGAATAGCGAGTCAAAACTTTAACGCCAATAACCTTGACATGAGAGAGAGTTCAAATGGTTGCTGTTTTATTTAGCTAAATAAAAGGCGTGACAGAAGTCATGCCTCCAAGTGTAGGCAAGAACAACCATGTCATGCACAGGAAAGACCAGGAGTTTTATAACATTTGTTACACAAGGGAATGAGAGGAGGAATGGGTGGTTCATGGTACAAAGAAGTGGGAAATAGGTAGCTCATGGCCTATTGGCAGAAGGGATGGGGTTGCAAAGGAATCCAAAAGTTTGTCAGAGTGGGAATCACAGAAGGGATGGAATTTTACAACAGGGTGGGTCAACAAGGTGGGTCTATAGACAGCAGTTATGGAAATAAAGTACATGGTTACATTGTTGTATTGTATTGACAGGAAAGCAATTTATTATCTTGCAGAGAGGTTACAAAGTTGGGTGAAAAGGGAGATTTTCAAGGTGCAGTGAGACTGTCCAGGTGCAGGAGTTCAATTTGCATAAGATTGGTCCTGGCATTTTCCTTGGGGGAGAAGAGACAAACCCAGCTGTGTCTGTTGGTGGAAGGAGTGCCCCCTGCTGTGTCTATTTGGTTCTCCAATCTGCCTGCCTGCCTGCCTGACTGACTGCCTGCCTGCCTGACTGACTGACTGACTGACTGACTGACTACCTACCTATTCTTTGCCTTTCCCCACCCAGCAGAGACTCAACAATGGTGAAGGCAACAAGAAAAGAGGAAGGCTAAATAAAAGATGGGTTGGTTCGAGGAAAGAAGCCGTGGTCTTGAGTTTGCAAGGGATGAGCAGGGCTGTTAATGAGCAGGCCCTCTGGAGGTTGCTCATTCATAGAGTCACCCTAAATTGGAAGAGAGACAATGGGATATAGCAAGAACAGAACTCGAAATGGAAACCTGCAAATACAAGGGATTGGAAGAATTCCTTTACAGTGGAAAGAGGCAACATTTGGGGGGCTGACTGGCTGAAGAAACAAGGTAAGTAAGAAGAGATGTTGCAGATGCACACAGAGTTGTGTACACGTGCGTGCATGCGCATTCTGTGCTGTGAAGTCAGAACTGACTTATAGAGACCCTAAAAGGGCTTTCGAGGTGAGACATTGAAGGAGTGGCTTCACCAGTTCTCTCCCTCAGTGAGATTTCATGGCTGAGTGGGGTCTTGAACCTTTCCCCCCAGAGTCCGAGTCCATCATTCTATCCACTACACCGCGCTAGGAATTGCACCATGCAGAATTATACATGGCATAAACAATAGAGCTGTTGTTGTTGTTGTTGTGGCATCAAGTTGCTTTGGACTCAAGGCAACCCTATGAATAAGCGAACCCCAAAAGGTTGAAGAAGATTTGAAAGGGGCTTCGATACGCTTTGAAAGGGGTTGGATCGAGGCGTGGGGTGAAGGCGCCAGCATCCCTCGCCTGCCGGCCCGCTCGGCTCTCGATGGCGGCCTGTGCCGGAGGCGGGAAGCCCCTCCGCAGCAGTTGCAGGGGATCGCCAGCAGGCGCCCCCGCGAGTCCTCCTGGGTCTGCCAAGGCTGGGGGGCCGCCGCTCTGCCAGCTGCACCAGCCGATGGTCGGAGGGGGCCCGAGGGTGGGATCCGGGGGCTGCAGCAGGCAAGCGAGAGGGCTGGAGGGGGTCCTGTTGCTCTTCTCTTCCTACTCGGCTGACTTACCAAGTTGGCTTTGGACAAGCACACGTT